TGTAGGAAAAGCTGAAGATCATCTACCCAGACCTCAAAGTCAACTGCCCGACCCTCAGCGTCAAAGGTGAGAACACTAGGGGAGGCCATGACAGCAGTAGACAGGTAGTGAGTACAGTGGGGCAGGGCAGTGCAGTGGTAGAGGCGGTGCTCTTACCAGGCAAGTGGGGCAGGCGGCAGCGCCTCGGCTGCGGTGCGGCTCGGCGGCTCGGCGGCTCGGCTGCTGGGCGGCTCGGCGGTCGGGCGGCTCGGCTGCTGGGCGGCTCGGCTGCTCGGCGGCTCGGCTGCTCGGCTGCTCGCCTGCTCGGTGGCTCGGCTACTCGGCGGCTGGGCGGCTCGGCGGCTCTGGCGCTGGGCGGCTGAGTGGCGACGGGGCCGCAGAAGGGCGGCGACGGGGCCGCTGAAAGGGCGGCGACGGGCCGCTGAAAGGGCAGCGACTAGCCGCTGAAAGGGCGGCGACGGGGCCGCGGAAGGGTGGCGACGGGGCCGGTGAAGGGCGGCAACGGGGCCGTGGAAGGGCGGCGACGGGGCCGCTGAAAGGGCGGGCGGCGACGGGGCCGCTGAAAGGGCGACGACGGGGCCGCTGAAGGGCGGCCGCGGAAGGGCGGCGTCGGGGCCGCGGAAGGGCGGCAACGGGGCCGCGGAAGGGCGGCGTCGGGGCCGCGGAAGGGCGGCGACGGGGCCGCTGCAAGGGCGGGCGGCAAGGCCGTGGAAGGGCGGCGACGGGGCCGCGGAAGGGCGGCGTCGAGGCCGCGGAAGGGCGGCGACGGGGCCGCTGCAAGGGCGGGCGGCGAGGCCGTGGTAGGGCGGCGACGGGGCCGCTGAAAGAGCGGCGACGGGGCCGCGGAAAGGGCGGCGACGGGGCCGCTGAAAGGGCGGCGACGAGGCCGCGGAAAGGGGCCACGAGGGCGGTGCGAAGAGGGCCGCAAGGGCGGCGCGACGGGGCCGTGAGGACGGCGCGACGGGGCCACTAGGGGCCGTGAGGGAGGCCGCTAGAGGCTACGAAGGGAAGTCACACGAGGCGCGACTCGAGCAAGGGCCAAGCGCGCTCCGGGCAGGAAAAAAAAGGTCGGTGGGCCCTAGGAACAGTTCCCACGGGGGAACCTGCTCTATACCATGTGAGAATTAGAACGAGAATGTGATTGAACTATGAAACAGTTGGGTACAAGTACTAACCCTCATTAGGTTGTATCCCTTATGGGCTACCCCACTACAACCTACACAGATGTATAAGCTATAATGTTCTAACATTTCCCTGCTTTGGAGACTCCCTCCCCTGCTCTGCTCCGCGGTGCCTTAGCTCCTCTAGGCATTCGCTCTTGCGATGGCCCGGCCTGTTGCAAGCAAAGCAGCGCCCCTTAAACGGCGCGGCAGCTGCATTCGTCGCAACAGCGTGTACAGTGGCGTGCTCGATCGGTCCCCGAGGACGATGTCCATAGTAGGACCCCGGTCTCGGACGGCGTAAAATGTCGATTTTCTCGGCGAGCGTGAGAATCTCGTTGAAGTTCGAGAGCCCGCGTAGCATGATTTCGTGCGAGATGTCCGGCTTCAGCCCTCCGACGTAACGGTCCACCTGCTCCGCTTCGTGCATGTAGCCGACTTGTTCGCATAATGCGAGAAAACCACTCGTATAGTCTTGAACCGATCCAAGTTGCCGCCAAGTGCGCAATCTCTGACGCGCCGAAATAGAAGCCGCGATCGGCTCGAAGCGCGCCCGAAGCCCTGCGCACCACGCATCCCACGTGCTGTATTGGGCGGTCTCGCAGAATGAACTCCAGGTGACAGCTGGGCCTGTGGGCCCTTCCTCTTGCGACGGTGGCTCGTAGGCGCGTGGGGACGTCACGATGACTCGCCACCAGTCCATGGCGGGGCTCCTTAGCAGCGAAACGGCATACCGAATCTTCGCTGCGTCCGACTCGACGTAATTCGCGTCGAAGAAGACGTTCATCGTGAAGACCCACGATTGAACCGTCGGACCTCCACGCTGGCTCGGGTCGAAGCAGGGCGGGCGTTGCGGCTTGAGTGGCATTGGTGCCATAGATGCCTGTTCGCCACTTGTCGCCGCGAACTCCACGTGCTGACGGGCTTCGCGAGGCTCCCGCGGGCTTGGTGCGACCCTGTTTCCTCCCATGCCAGGCATCGGCTGGGCGGCGCCATCGCTGGGTGCGCCTGAGCGCCGTCCCACGCTGTTGTTTTGTGTTGGTGTGCCGGACGAGATGACCATCGGCTTGTCTGATTGTGCAGATGCATTTGTCGGTGCGTGTGGTGGCACTGGAGTGTTCATCGTTGATTGCTGACGTGCGGAGTCATGTTTCGCCATGAGCGTCGCAAATTCGAGCGCCGAATCTTCAAGTTGGCGCACCATACGGTCGAGCTGCTCCTGCGTCAATGTGGCGAGCGTGAATTCGGCCATGGCGGGGGTGTCGGGCGAGCTCAGCGAGAGCCTCGGTCGTGGCCGTGCGTGCTTATGAGAGAGCAGTACGAGCGGCGGTGCTGTGTCACTGAGAGACGTCTAACCCCCTCAAAAATTGAGATAGTGGAGAAGCGAAGGTGTGGGTGTGGTCCGAGAGGAGATCGTAGGCTCTGAATACCAAGTGTTACGAGTGCGATTGAGTGAACGAACGAGAATTGCACTATCGAAGCAAGAGTCCAATGGGCGAAGGCATGAGCGAAGAATATATAGCAAAACTACAGTGGTAACGGTAATGGACTGTGGTTGTCGCGCAACGGGCTTGGGACTGAGGTTGGGAAAAAGTGTCGAAGCGGAGGCCCGGAGCGCGGGTTACCCGCCGAGCGGTGAGGTCGGGGTGCGATGTGCAAAGGTGGCGGGCAGGGCCTTTTTTTTTTTTTTTTTTTTTTTTCACTACTCGGATTTCCAGAGCTGTTTTCTAGAGAAATCTGAAATTCAGGGTTCATTATGAGCGTTACTCTGATTTGTCAGAGAAAACTTAACTTATGAAAAGTACACTCTGGGCCCTCAGTGTATCTATTTTCCAACTCTGAGTGACCTCCAAGTATTCAACCCAGTCCTTCTGCACTCCTACCAGAAACATTAAGCGTTGTGCTACGCGCTCACCATTCTTCTCGATTACGGATTATAATAACTCCACTTACTCTGCCCATCTTCCAACAATTGGGGGGGGGAAGGGGGGTGCGGGGGGGGGTCGGTCGAAATGCCTATACCCTGTATAGAGAAAAGTACATCCGCCACAAATATACACTGGTCTCTCAGAGAAGCTAAAATCAGAACCCTGACAAATCAGAGAAAACTTATCCTCCAAAAAAATTACCCAGACACGTCAGAGTGACCCCCTAAAAACCACTCTGATTTTCAGAGAAACAGAGTAATTTACTCTGATAAAAAAACCCCTGGTGGGGGGCCTATTGTCGATGCGAGGGTTGCGAGTGGTAACGGTGCTGACTGTGGTGCTACAGTGATGTACGCGTTGAGCAGGGATGCGAAGTAAGGAAAATGAATTTTCCTTACAATTACACGTTTCTATCCCTTGGTTGCGCCAGACGCTTCGTTTCCGCCGTTCCGCGGTGTATTCCCCTGCCCAATCTCTGTACGAAATTGGTTGGCATCGCCTGCCAAGTTTGAATCCCTCGCGCCAGCTATCCGTACCCTTAACATTTCGCTGTTGAATCAGACCCCGTGAAAGGGTGTACACAAACATTGCCCCCAAAAACCACCCGCGGCCCAAATTGCGGGCCGCGCGGGTCAAGCTTTTAAAACTTGACTTACTAGTGTTTGCAAAGTTAAAAAAAAAAAAAAGCGCGCCTGCAATTTGGGACTTTCGGGGACTGAACCAACCCCAAGGGCGAAATACAAGGGCGGGCTGGGTTCGGCGAAAAAAACGAAAGAACCAAAATCGAAAAGTTTCGCCAAACCCCAGACCAGAAAAAACCCCTTGCGTCAAGCTTTTAAAAGTTGTGCAATTTGGGCTGCCGGCTTTAACGGGTTAATAGCATGATTAACACACGGGAGCACCGACATTGGTAGCTCCGAAGATCCAGGTGGCAGCCATGGCTGCCTTGGAGTCATTGTCATTGTCATGTTCCGGCCATTGGCGGTAAGGTATTGTGGGTGCAACTGGCTGGTAAAAAAAACACGGGTGCAGACTTATGTACAAGGTAGGAGGAAAGGGAAAGTATACTCTTATTACACTGACCAACACATGGTACATGCAGCAATATATACATGAGATGCAATAGCATGGCATTGTCAAGGTTGTAGGAGGCGTCGTGCTATGATGAGTCGCATTATCTCGTTTGTACCCTCCAGAATGGTGTGCACTCGAAGATCCCTCAGATATCTCTCCACCTAAACAGGTGTGTAATGATAAGTTGGATTTGAGTAGGATGCAGAGGTGGAGGAAGCAGACGCACGGACATGTGAATGCGTATATGTATATATGAACATATGCTATTAATCTGTAAGAAATGTATATCGCTACGTACCATATGTCCAAATAGAACAGCAGAAGAGTGTAAACACACCCACATACAGAGGCAGGTGTGGGGAGGAAAGCAACGTACGGGGTAGTCTTGTAAGAACCCATAGCCTCCGAGCATCTGTAACGCCTGATTGGCCACCTGGTAACAATTATCCGTTGCAAACCTGAATGGGAAATGGGGAAACGCACGAAGAGAATGCAAATCAGCACACAAGCAAAAAAGGCATCGCTCTGGGGGGGCATTGCAGGAATGACAGGGAAAGGGTGGGTGGGAGGGAGAGGAGAGGGCAGTGGGATGGGGGAGTATGGTCGTATAACTAGCTCGTTGTGGATCCCATCCTTGCGCAACAAGTGTGCTGACTCCACACCCACCCAGCAAGCACCCACCCCTTACCCTAGCAGTGGCTGTGGGGCCCAGGACGTTTTCAGTTCAATGGCAGTGGCAACACCGCGAACCATCATGCGAGATGCCTCCACTGCTGCTGCCACACAGAGGGTGCTGATTCCACACCCACACACCACCCACCCAGCACCCACCCAAAATTCACCTCTTGGCCATGGCAGCAGCCGTGGTGGCCCAGGGTGCTTTCACATCAATGGCAGTGGCGGCGTTGCGAACCATCAGGCGAGATGCCTCCACTGCTGTTGCCATGTCAGCCAGTTGGAACTGCGTGTTCTGAAAGGCCGTGATTGGCTTGCCAAACTGCATGTAAGGGGGGAGGGAGGAGAGATGGACCGGGTAGGGGGAAATCATGTCCCACTAGCACCATGAGGCTAGCTGCCTCCACTGCTGTTGCCATGTCGGCCAGTTGGAACTGCGTGTTCTGAAAGGCCGTGATTGGCTTGCCAAACTGCATGTAAGGGGGGAGGGAGGAGAGATGGACCGGGTAGGGGGAAATCATGTCCCACTAGCACCATGAGGCTAGCTGCCTCCACTGCTGTTGCCATGTCGGCCAGTTGGAACTGCGTGTTCTGAAAGGCCGTGATTGGCTTGCCAAACTGCATGTAAGGGGGGAGGGAGGAGAGATGGACCGGGTAGGGGGAAATCATGTCCCACTAGCACCATGAGGCTAGCTGCCTCCACTGCTGTTGCCATGTCGGCCAGTTGGAACTGCGTGTTCTGAAAGGCCGTGATTGGCTTGCCAAACTGCATGTAAGGGGGGACACAAGGCAAGGGAAGAGGAAGACAAACAAAAGAGAGGAGGCGTTACCACTACTAGCAGCAGCATGGGGAAAGTGCCTCCACTGCTGGTGTCATGTGGACCAGCTGGAACTGCGTGTTCTGGAAGGGCGATGCGGGGCAGGAGAGAGAAGAAAGAGAGGCGGGGAGGGGTAGAAAAGCTGCTGTCATGTGGACCAGCTGGAACTGCGTGTTCTGGAAGGGCGATGCGGGGCAGGAGAGAGAAGAAAGAGAGGCGGGGAGGGGTAGAAAAGCTGCTGTCATGTGGACCAGCTGGAACTGCGTGTTCTGGAAGGGCGATGCGGGGCAGGAGAGAGAAGAAAGAGAGGCGGGGAGGGGTAGAAAAGCTGCTGTCATGTGGACCAGCTGGAACTGCGTGTTCTGGAAGGGCGATGCGGGGCAGGAGAGAGAAGAAAGAGAGGCGGGGAGGGGTAGAAAAGCTGCTGTCATGTGGACCAGCTGGAACTGCGTGTTCTGGAAGAATGTGATTGGCTTGCCAAAATGGGAGTCGAGGGGGAGGGGAGGGAGAAAAAAAAACAGTTGTTGGGAGGAAAAGAAGGAGAAGGGGTGGTGGTTAGAAAAACAGGAAGAGGGTTGGTGGGAGGAAAAAGAGGAAGAGGGGCGGCTAAAGGAAAAAGAGGAGGAAGAGGGTTGGTACGAGGAAGTTGGGTGGTGCAAGCAAGCATACCTGTTTCCTGTCCGTTGCATACTGCTGAGCATACTCAAGACAGAACTGCGCCCCTCCCACACTGCACAGACAGCACGGGGAAAAAGGGGAGGGAGGGAGTGTGCATAACAATGTTTGACTGACTGCAGATCAGCCTGCTCTGCTCCGTTGCATACTGCTGGGCATACTCGAGACAGAACTGCGCTCCTCCCACATTGCACAAAATGGGGGAGAGGGGAGAGAGGGAGGGGAGGAGTAGAAACCATTTGATTGGAGCCTAACAAAACGGATTCTCACACAGTTCACAGACGGACGGATAGATCAAGAGCCGAGGAAGGGGGAGGTAGTGAGCAATGAGGTGCGGTGAGGTGCGGTGAGGTGCGGTGAAGAGAGGACCCACCCACCTGCATGCACCAATGTTCACTCTCCCACCATCCAGCCCAGTCATTGCTATTCGAAAGCCGTTGCCCCTTCCCCCGATAAGGTTTGCTGCCGGCACCCTCAAATCCTCCAAAATGACCTGATATATGGGGACACAGGGACAGAGGGAGAAAGAAATTTGCAGAGCAGGAATGACCTTTGAGTTGACTCGAACATGCCAGCACCCCTCACATCTCCAAAATGACCTGATATATTTTCCATCAGGTGAGGGTGCGACAAACATGCAAAGGAAAGGAGGAGTCGGGTCACAAAGGCACGACGGTAGAAAGAGGGTTTTTTAGGTGATTCAAACGTGCCGGCACCCTCACGTCCCCCAAAATGACCTGATAAGTAGACGTACAGGGAGATGCATAGCAGGAGTGGGGTGAGGTGAGGTGAGGTGAGGTGACATGCGGTGAGGTGTGGTGCTTCAGTAACAACCTGGGCCCTACCCACCGCAGCAGTGGGCTGTGAGTTCCATCCGACACGAATGATACCCCAGCAGAGGGCTGTGTGAGATGCAGTGCGGTGATGTCAGGTGAGGTGAGGTGAGATGTGGTGCACCAAAAACCAGCTGGGTCTGACTCACCGCAGCAGTGGGCTGTGAGTTCCATCCGAGTTTCTTCTCCAGCTGCCCGAATGATAACCCGGGCATGCCCTGTGCACACACAAACAACCACCATCAGTCAACATAGGCGCAGAGACGGGCATGGGCACGGGCGGGGCACGGGCATGGGTACGGGCAGGGGCATCGAGTTTAGAATACGTCTGGGAGAACAACCACGAGCAGTGGGACACTCCCTTTTGCCCCTCGACGTAAACCACTCTACCTTCTCCACTAGAAAGCACGGCACCCTCTTCACCCCCTCCCCATCTGTCCATAACCACATATACGCATCAGCAGCACTCTTGGAACATCTCAAACTGCCCCATCCCTTCGCCTCACGCCATCCGCACACTCCTACCTACCTTCTCCACCAGGAAGCATGATATCCCCTTAGGCCCCTCCCCGTCTGTGCGCGCCATCACCACATACACATCAGAAGCCGTTGCTCCACTGATGAACGCCTGTGGGATGAGCAGAATGAGGGGGAGACAGGGAGCATGAGGAGGGCGGGAACGGATGGTGAGTAAGGCAAAAGTTGGCAATAATCTCTTTTCTCCCTCTTTGTCTGTACACCTGTCACGATGTTACGTGTCACTCCGCTAAGATGCTTTCAGTGAACATGTGTCTTTGTTGGCTGTGAACAAGGATGCGGTGAGTGCCTAGAGACTTGCACCAAAATTATGCGTGATGGGTACTCTTTGTATTGACAACCTGTCTCTTGTCAAGTTCATTTTCTTTAAGGAGATTCGTCAGTTCTGATAAACTCTGTTCAACACCCCATCCGAACAAAGTAAATCAGAGTTGACGAATCCTTCTGAAGAGAATATGCCTATCAAGAAGTAAGTTCTCGATAAAAAGGATACGCATCACGCATAATTCACGTGCATATATCTAGGCACGCACCGCATCCTTGTTTACAACCAACATAAAACCCATGTCCACTGAAAGTATCTTAGTGGACTGAGCAACAAGATTGACATGTAACACTGTCGAACAGGGATGGAAGGCGTGATGGGGGAAGGGTTGAGGAAGGGAGGAAGGGAGGGAAGGAGGAAGGGAGAGAGGGAGGGAGGGAGGGAGGGAGGGAGGGAGGGAGGGAGGGGGGGAGGGAGGGAGCGAGGGAGGGAGGTACCTTGGATCCATTCAGAATGTAATCTGTAGAGCCGGTGGCCTGCCTCGCCGTCGTCTGTAGTGGAAGGGGATTCAAATAACAAAGCAGGGAACGGATGCTAGTTTTAATATGGTGATCTTGGTGCAAACCAACGCAGGGTAGTACGGTCTTACCAGGGTAAGGCGGGTGGAGGCAGTCACAGAGGTTACAATAGGAGGAAATGCAAGCCTTTGTAACGGCTACGCACAGGCTCATCTTGAGCCAAACGGGGAAATCGAACCAAACGGGGAAATCGAACCAAGACTGTTGCAATGCCATGCCGTGCTGTGCAATTCCATGCCAAGCCATGCTGTGTTGTGCTATCCCATTCCATGCCATCCCATGCCATGCCTTCCCATGCGATGCCATGTCATCCCATACCACGCCATACCATTCCATACCATGCCATGCCATACCGTGCCATACCCATGCCATGCCTGTGCCATGCCCATACCATGCATGTGCCATGTCTGTCCATGACACCCAGTCCCCATCCTCACCTTGAAAGCAGCAGCATCGCTGCCGCTGCCAGGCTCCGTGAGGCAATACGAGGAGAGAGCAGGTCCTGCCCATGGGATGCCATACCGTACCGTACCATACCACACCATGGCATACCATCCGGTCCCCATGTCTCACCTTGAGAGCAGCAGCATCGCTGCCACTGCCAGGCTCTGTGAGGCAATACGAGGAGAAGAGGTCCTGCCCATGGGATGATGGTGGAGGGAGGAGGGCAATAGGAGCACCCATATCATGACTGTAGTGAAACAAGAGGAGATTTTTTAGTCGACTAAAAAATTGCGCACAGGATGGTGGTCACGATTTTTTTAGGCGCCTAAATTGTTGTCTCAATAGGAGCACCCATCTAATGATTGCATTATAAGCGTACAAGATGGTGGTAACGAGTGCATCCATATTGGAACAAGCATAAGGGAGTGCGTGTTGGATAGCAGCGCCGCTACCACTGCCATTGTGTGAAGCAATTAGAGGAGATGAAATCCTCGCCATGAGATTGGGGTGGAAAAAGAGTAAGTTGGTGTGACTTTTGAGAATTCTCAAGAGTAACAGGAGCACCTATGTTGGGTCAATTGCATAGGGTGTTGGTGGGGAAGGGCCCATGGGTACGGCGATACAGAGCATTGCGATGCGGTGGAAAGTGGTGCAGTGTGCAACCACTCACCATTGTTGCCAGGGCTGGTAGCCATTTTTGCTGCTGCTCCTCCGATCCGAACCTGATTCGAATGGAATGAGCCAAGCAGGAGAGTGAATTTACTGGGTGAGAGAAGTCGAATAAAATCAAGTCAGACAAAGCAAAGAAGGAACAACATACAGAAACAGGACAACGGGAGGGAGGTGAGTCAGAGAAGTTGGAGTAATCTACCTTTCGCTTTTTCAAACCCACTGCCCATAGCACACGATCACCATCATCATGCCATGTCATCACGCCATCCCTGCCACGTCATCACGCCATCCCTGCCACTTCATCACGCCCATCTCTGCCACGTCATCACAACCGTCCCCCACCTGTCGATGATGCTCGCATTCATGTTGTGGATCGTGAGATACGCCGTCGTGCTGACGTCAGCATGCGCCAACGCCTCAAATACCACCGCCCCGTCAGCCCGGCCCAACCTGCTCATGACACGTGGCAGGTGGCAAGAGTGAGGGCAGTGTGCCACGTGGCAAAAATCTCACAGCCGAGCAGCGAGCATGACACGTAAACCCACCACAGCTCAACTCACCCCGACCCTCGTGCAAGCAATCACTCCCAGTGGTCCAAATACCGCTGAACCGACTTTTGAGTCGACTCAAGAGACTTGTGAGGTGCCTGTTGAGTCGACTCAAGAGACTTTTGAGGTGCCTGTTGAGTCGACTCAAGAGACTTTTGAGGTGCCTGTTGAGTCGACTCAAGAGACTTTTGAGGTGCCTGTTGAGTCGACTCAAGAGACTTTTGAGGTGCCTGTTGAGTCGACTCAAGAGACTTTTGGTCCAAATACCGTGAAACCGACTCACCCTCGTGCAAGCAATCAACCCCAGTGGTCCAAATACCGTTAAACCGACTCACCCTACCCCCCATGACTTTTGGGTCGACTCAAAGGTAAACTCGCCCCGACCCTGATGCAAGCAATCACTCCCAGTGGTCGAAATACCGCTCACCAGACTCACCCAGACCCCCCCACGTCTTCTCTGACAAAGAGAGCAGCAAAGCCCAGCCCTGCTGCCTTGCGAAGCACGTCCACTGGGAAGTGCTTCTGCGCATCCCACTCTGCCGCACGTGGCAGCAGCTCATTGGCTGCGAATTCCTGCTCGCAAGGGATGGGGAAAATCGGCGGGGGGGAAGAAAAGAAGGGGGAAGTGGGTGGAATGAGGGGAGGGGGAAGAGAGGCATGGGAGGGGAGAGGCGGTGGAGGCGACGTGTGCCCCCACCATGGACGCGTCGACTGCTCTATCTTGGGTAGAGGAAAACCGCGGACTTCCATTTTCGAATTGGGAGTCTCACCTGTGCCCACCGAGTTTCACCTGATCCCACCGAGTTTCAGCCCACCGAGTTTCACCTGAGCTAAGGCGCGGAACTCGAGCTGGTGGGGCGTGAGGCCGTGCGAGGAGGTGATGGACGCGTGCGCCCCCCCCATGGACGCGTCGACCGCGCCGTCGGGCGGCGACGAGGCGGCCGCGGCGGGCGACGCGGCGAAGGGCGAGAAGGACGTGGCGGAGAAGGCGGAGAAGGCGGAGGAAGGGGAGAAAGCGGAGCGGGAAGCTGGGGAGGGAGAGGAGGAAGCGGAATGATATGAGGCGGCGGACAGTGATGGAGGGATGGATGATGGCGAATGATTGAGGTGGCGTGGCGACAGGCTGCGAAACGCTGGCGACGCTCGTCGCAGGAGCTGAACCAAGGAGCGGCGCGCCATCGAGGGTTGCTTATGCTGCTACCAGCGGTGGGGGTAAGTACCACTCGCTCCTGAATTACCCCTCTTCGGACAGAACGCTGCTGTGGTCACGCTCCTAAATTAGTACTTCTCCTTATTCGAGAAATCCGAGATAAAAAAAAAATGCGGCTCGAGGGTCACGTAGCAGCACGTAGATTCTAGGCTCTAGTCTCATGCGAGCCACGTGCATGGGCAGCGCGCGTCGCTGGCGAGTTGTTGAAGGAGAAGCTACTACGAGCAACGCGGGACGAGGACTCGTGTCTCGTGACTGGAGAGCTCAGCGCAAGACCAAAATCTAAGAAATGCATCGTGAATTTCGAGAAAATATATCAGCCGGGGTGTGTGTGTGTGTTCCTAGAGGCTCGGTAGGACTTCTGCCTGAAGCTCCCTGTGTTTGGTCTGACGGAACCGTAGCAAACGCTCTCTTTTCGGGAAGCAGTTTCAGGCCAATGAAACATCCTCGCGAAGCAGTCGCGAGAACTACGGGAGGTTTGGTAACGACGTAAGGTGTCGTAGGTATTGCCGAACCTGACAGTGTTAGCTCTCTTGCTACTGATGACATCACAATGTAACCTGAAGCGTGGATCTGACGCTAACCGCGTCAGATGTTACGTGAACGAGCTAACCAATGGTATGCGAGTTCGATACCCGCAGTCCGATACCCGTACCACAAGTGAAGCATTCAGATAGTGAATAGAAAAATTTATAAATCCCCTTGGTTACACGCATATAAAGGTTTTAGAGTTCCTGGTTCGTATTCTCATTCATATTACCATGCACTGCACGCAGCAACCCAAGCCTAGCTCCAGTCCTTTGCGAGAAGCCCCAAATACAAAGCAAGCTGACTGCCCACCAACAGCGTAAGCGGCCCTATCGCCCGTAGCAAGCGAAGAAAAGCAATCTTGGGCGTCAGGTTCGCCCCCTTGGCAAGCGTCGCCATTAACCCATCGCCTCCTGATTCACCACCACCACCACCTCCAGATGCTGTAGCACCGTCTTTTGAGACGTCTGTGAATGATCCGATTCGAGGAACGCCGGAGCTGCCACCGGCGTCCATTAACGAATCATGCGACCCCTGTTGCCGGGATGCCCTTAGCTGTGCCCCGCCAGGTCTGAAAATGGAATCAGAAGCAGGAGACAAGATGCATAGAAGTTAGTTGATGATCATGCGAGCACAGAGGGGTAAAAAGGACTTCACAGACTGCACCTGGTAGCACCCGATAGCACCTGACGTTTCATTTCTATACGCACAACTGAAGAGGCATGGGAACTCACCTCCTATCAGATGTGACTGAAGAGGGCATGGTGTCTGGAAGTCTCGGAGTCGCCCTCCTTACAAGCACCATGTTGCCATCCGTGTCAAACATGGGCTCCAGCTCCCCCTCCCAATCCCCATCTGCTTTCAGCTTGGGGAGTGTCCATGCCTCTCTGCTCGCTGCTGCCACGCGCGCTGCCAGCGCTGCCAGGGACGCCCAGGAGACGCCTCGTGAGGGCAGCAGGAGGAAGGCAAGGCAGGAGAGGAGCGAGAGGAGGAAGTACCTGGGGGAGTGGGGGGTGGGGGGAGTGGGAGGGGACGTTTGAGTGAAGTGATGCCCAGGAGACGTGTCTGAAGCTCACAGACTAGAAGCAAAGACGCCCCCTCGTTCTTTTCCAAAACCTAGAAGCAAAGACGCCCCCTCGTTCTTTTCCAAAACCTAGAAGCAAAGACGCCCCCTCGTTCTTTTCCAAAACCTAGAAGCAAAGACGCCCCCTCGTTCTTTTCCAAAACCTAGAAGCAAAGACGCCCCCTCGTTCTTTTCCAAAACCTAGAAGCAAAGACGCCCCCTCGTTCTTTTCCAAAACCTATAAGCAAAGACGCCCCCTCCTTCTTTTCCAAAACCTAGAAGCAAAGACGCCCCCTCCTTCTTTTCCAAAACCTAGAAGCAAAGACGCCCCCTCGTTCTTTTCCAAAACCTAGAAGCAAAGACGCCCCCCCGTTCTTTTCCAAAACCTAGAAGCAAAGACGCCCCCTCGTTCTTTTCCAAAACCTATAAGCAAAGACGCCCCCTCCTTCTTTTCCAAAACCTAGAAGCAAAGACGCCCCCTCGTTCTTTTCCAAAACCTAGAAGCAAAGACGCCCCCTCGTTCTTTTCCAAAACCTAGAAGCAAAGACGCCCCCTCGTTCTTTTCCAAAACCTAGAAGCAAAGACGCCCCCTCGTTCTTTTCCAAAACCTAGAAGCAAAGACGCCCCCTCGTTCTTTTCCAATACCTAGAAGCAAAGACGCCCCCTCGTTCTTTTCCAAAACCTAGAAGCAAAGACGCCCCCTCGTTCTTTTCCAAAATCCAGAAGCAAAGAACGAGGAAAACAGAGCTTGGGAGAAGGGACATACCTGGAACATCAGTATGGCGTACCAGGGAGGGAAGAGGATCAGTATGGGTAGGCAGCACACACAGCTGCACGTGCACTGATGCTGCTCCCAACATCGCTTCTTAGGGGTCTTACAAGTAACGCGGTCTTACCAGGGAGGGAAGAGGATCTGCGTGGGCAGCACACACAGCTGCACGTGCACTGACACTGCTCCCAACGTTGGTTTCTGCTGCTGCCCCTGCTGCTGGCTGGAGCTTCTGTGAGGGTGGTGGTGGTCGAGGGGAACGGTGACGAGCAGGAATGCAGGCGGGTCGGTGATGGTGTGTGTGCTGTGGATGAAGTTGAAGGTTGGGAGCGACAGCTGCACACACACACGCGCGCGGCAGGGAGGAGTGATTGGAAAACACAGGGAAGAGGAGAAGATTTCATTTGCGGTCGCACACAGGCGGGCGGTTGGGTGATGGTGTGTGTGCTGTGGATGAAGTTGAAGGTTGGGAGAGACAGCTGCACACACACAGGGGTGGAGAGGGAGGAGTGATTGGAAGAAGGCAGGGGACACGATGATTGGGAGGCTACACAGAGGCAGGAGGGTGGGAGATGGCATGTCGCTGTGAATAGAGTTGAAGGTGGGGAGCGGTGGGTGTGCATGTGAAAATTCTACTTTTGCGGCACACACACACACACACACACACACACACACACACACACACACACACACACACACACACACACACACACACAGACACACAAAAAAAAGGACGACTTTTGAAGTCTAATTCTCGCAAAAGTTTTCTACTTCTGTGGCACAAAAAAAAAATAAAGGCGGCGGCAAGTCACTCCCAGGAACAGCATTGTTCCCTCTGGGCGTTGCCTCTTCCTCCTGCCGCTGCTGCCAGCAGGTTGCCTCTGCATGCCCTGACTGACTGACACCCGAGCTGCTGTTCCCCACCTCCCAACCCACCACACCCTACCCCAAACGCACCTCGACCACGTCCCAAGCAGCAGCACCCGAGCTGCTGTTCCCTCTGGGCGTCCCCCCCACCTGCCGCTGCTGCCAGCAGGTTGCCTCTGCATGGCCTGACACCACCAGAGCCTGTGGGGATGGGAGAGAGAGAGGGACGCGAGGAGAGATGGATGGGAAAGGATTATCTCCAGATGCTTTCACTGCCAGTGCTGCCACTGGTCCGACACCACCAGAGTTCTGAGACGTCTCAAAGCTGCCACTGGTCCGACACCACCAGAGGCTCCATTGGGGACAGCAAGAGAGAGGTGCATATTTTCCCCAATGCAGACCCTCCTTGACCCACTGCCACTCCCCCGACCCTCCTGGTTAACTCTATCACCCCATCCCATCCTCACTATGGTCTCATTCTCCCTATCAACAAGGTTACTTGTGAGTCGACTCAAAAATCACCAATGCCGGCCCCCATATACAACTCCCCCGACCCTCCTGGTTCACTCTATTTCCCCATCCCATCCTCACTATGGTCCCATTCTCCTCCCTATACCATCAGCGCATGCACGTACCGGTCTCAGCAGCTGAAGCAGGTGGTTGGACCCTTCCTTTGATATGGCATCCTGGTACCTGAAGGGGGGGAAGAGGCGAGAGGGGGACGGGGAGAGCCGGAAAGGCGAGGTGACTTTTGAGTTGACCCATGCGTCAGCTGCAGCAGGTGGCTGGACTCTTGGTTTGATATCGCATCCTGGTACCTGAAGGGGGGGAAGGGAGAATGAGCATGAATTCGCGTGTGATGGAGGGGACAAGAAGAGGAACGGGTTTTGAGTCGACTCAAAACTAGAGGGGGAAGGGAGAATGAATATGACTTTGCGTGTGAAGGAGGGGACAAGAAGAGGAGCGACCATGTGTGTAGGGGAGGGGAGTGAGAACGGTCAACACTGAGCAGGCAGCAGTAATGAGTGTGAATGTTGAGGTGAGTTTTGAGGCGCCTCAAAACTCACCTCAATGCTCGCGGATTTCATATGGGCGGAGAGAACAGTCAACACTTTGCAGGCATCAGTAATAAGTGTGAATGAGTCGACTTTTGAGGCGTCTCAAAAGTCAACACTGTGCAGGCACCAGTGTGAGTACATGTTTGTGAGTGGGAGTGTGCAGTGAGGGCGTGAGGGAGTGAGGGAGAGAGCTCACCTAACCTCCCCGTCCTTGTCCCAGTCCTGGGGAGCAAAAACAAAGGGGAAAGGGGGCAGGGAAGGGGAGGAAGGAGGGTTGGAACAGGTCGTTTATAAACAGGCAAGGGAACTTTGAGTCGACTCAAAAAACACATTGGGGATCAAGCACACCGCTATGTTGCATACATGATCGGGTAGGGAGCAGGGACGGAGAGCGCACCACAGTTGTGCCTTGGGCGTTGGCATCACAGGGGAGGTCGGTGGGGGAGTGGAGCGGCAGGTGTAGGAAGAGAGAGGAAATGGGAAACGAGAGACGGACGAAGGAGATTACACACGTCCACAGCTTGAACCTCAGCTTGAACCTTCAAGAAGAGAGAATGACGCCCATTCTCACCAGTGCTTGGCCTTGTGGGTTGGCTCCACAGGGGAGGTCGGTGGGGGAGTGGAGCGGCAGGTGTAGGAAGAGAGAGGAAATGGGAAACGAGAGACGGACGAAGGAGATTACACACGTCTACAGCTTGAACCTCAGCTTGAACCTTCAAGAAGAGAGAATGACGCCCATTCTCACCAGTGCTTGGCCTTGTGGGTTGGCTCCACAGGGGAGGTCGGTGGGGGAGTGGAGCGGCAGGTGTGAAAAGAGGATGAGCGGGAGTGAGGACGCCTGGGCACCTGCAGCAGAGCAACAGTGCAGAGACGAGAGGAAGAGATGGCAGAGAGGAACAGAGGATGAGAAGGGAAGAAGAGAAGAAGTGACCAAGAGATGAACAGGTAAGAGGATGAGCTGGAGTGAGGACGCCTGGGCACCTGCAGCAGAGCAACAGTGCAAAGAAGTGCCGAGGAAAAGAAGAGAGGAACAGGCACAACAACAAGAACAGGTAGGAAAACACAGCAAACCATACCATGCTCTGGGAGGCTCTGCAGGAACTCCTCCAGCTGCCTCGTGCTGTTGTTGCGCTGCCAGTGGCCGTCCAGAGCCAACCCGTTCACCCCCACCACCCTCTCTGCTCGCACTGCCCCCACCTTGAGGGAGTACATGCACATCATCTCACCATGGTCTGGCAGGCTCTGCAGGAACTCCTCCAGCTGCTTCGTGCTGTTGTTGCGCTGCCTGTGGCCGTCCAGAGCCAACCCGTTCACCCCCACCACCCTCACCGCGCCCACCTTGTCGTGGAAGTTCAGCGCTCCTACATACCGCTCGAAGCGCATTGCCAGCTGATGGATGGAACAGGCAGGGCAAGAGGCGGAAGGGGAGGAAAAACCTCTAAGGGGAGGCCGTTCAGTCACCCCCACCACCCTCACCGCTCCCACCTTGTCGTGGAAGTTCAGCGCTCCAACATACCGCTCAAAGCGCACTGCCAGCTGATGGAATGTGAAGAAGAAAAGAGGCAGAAACAGGGGGCAGAAACGGAGGGTGAGACACTGAGGGAGGCCGTTCAGTCACCCCCACCACCCTCACTGCCCCCACCTTGTCGTGGAAGTTCAGCGCCCCAACATACCGCTCAAAACGCACTGCCAGCTGGAAGGTGGCACGCAGCAAAAGGCATGAGAGGAGGGGAAGAAGAGGAGGGTGAGACGCTGAGGGAGGCCGTTCGTTCAACCCCACCACCCGCACCGCGCCCACCACCCGCACCGCACCCACCACCCGCACCGCGCCCACCACCCTCACTGCCCCCACCTTGTCATGGAAGTTCAGCGCTCCAACTTACCGCTCAAAACGCACTGCCAGCTGATGGGATGAGGGGAGGTCGGGCAAGGAAACAGGCAGAAAGAGTGGAAACAGAAGAGGAGGGTGAGACACAGAGGCGGAGGCCGTTCAGTCACCCCCACCACCCTCACCGCCCCCACCTTGTCCTGGAAGTTCAGCGCTCCAACTTACCGCTCAAAACGCACTGCCAGCTGATGGGATGAGGGGAGGTCGGGCAAGGAAACAGGCAGAAAGAGTGGAAACAGAAGAGGAGGGTGAGACACAGAGGCGGAGGCCGTTCAGTCACCCCCACCACCCTCACCGCCCCCACCTTGTCCTGGAAGTTCAGCGCTCCAACTTACCGCTCAAAACGTACTGCCAGCTGATGGGATGCCGGGAGGTTGGGCAAGCAGGGAAGAGGCAGAAGAGGAGGGGAATAAAAGGGGGGTGAGACACAGAGGGAGGCTGTTCTGCTATCCCCACCACCCGCACCGCCCCCACCTTGTTGTGGAAGTTCAGCGCCCCCACATACCGCTCAAAGCGCACTGCCAGTTGATGGAACGGGGAGAGAGGCGTAAGAGGTGGGGACGACGAGGAGTTTAAGAAACCTTGTGGAAATTCATTGCCCCCACATACCGCTCAAAGCGAACTGCCCACTGATAAGCAGATGGAACGAGGGGAGGTGAGTCAGGGGAAGAGGCAGAGGTGGGATAGGGAAGAAGAGGTGGCGCAGAAGAGGGGCAGAAGAGGAGGGGGCGGTATACACTTCCTCGTCCTTGTTCTAAAAGATCTCAACCTTCCTTCCACCACCCCTTCCTCCTCTCACACCCACCTCGTGCTGCTGCCTCTGTGTGCTGCTAAACCCCACGTCTCTCTCTCCTGCCACTTGAGCCAAATCCGTCCGCATGTGCACATTCACCCCGCCCTCCCCCTCCCCGCCCTCCCCTTCCCCGCCCTCCCCTCCCCTTCCCCGAGGTGACTTTTGAGTGACTCATAAGTCACTCCGTCCGCATGAACTTCACCCCGCCCTCCCCCTCCCCGCCCCACTCCAACGCCCCCTTCCCGCCCAACCCGCCTTTCTCTTCCACACACCCACCTCGTGCTGCTGCCTCTGTGTGCTGCTGAACCCCACGTCTCTCTCTCCCGCCACTTGAGCCAAATCCGTCCGCATGTGCACGTTCACTCCCCCCTCCCCCGGATGCCACTTCCCCCACCACTCCCAAACGCTCCTCCCCACGCCAGCCGCTCTTTGGTCCTCCTCATTAGCCCCTCCTTGGCCATTCTTTGATTCCCTCTCCTCCCTGTTCTCCCTCTCCTTCTCCCTCCCTCTCTCTCGCTCCATCTGCTGCCGTCGCCGCCTCTCCCAGGTGTGCGGGTCGAGAAACGGGTCGTGTGTCTGAAACACGTGGTGGTAACGACTAGCTTCTGCTCGAAAGCTGGTGTATGGAGAAGGAAGGGAGGGGGGGGGGGGGGTGGGGGGAGGAGGGGAAGGAGAGACGAAGGAAGAGGGGTTGGGGAGTGAGGCGAACGTGGGAGGGCAGATGCGTGGGCAGATCAACAACGGGGTTGAGCGCCTGAAATACACGAATGTGAGGTCCCAACGGGGTGCTTGGCCGCATCGGCAGCGGGGGAAATGAAGCTCTTTGCAGCACGTGCCACGTGACATGTGGGTACATGGCACATGGCACATGGCACATGACACATGGCACATGACACATGGGACATGGCACATGGCACATGACACATGGGACATGGCACATGGCACATGGGACATGGGACATGGGACATGGCACATGGCACATGGGACATGGCACATGGCACATGGCACATGGGACATGGGACATGGGACAGGTGACTTACAGGGGGTAAGTGGCATCAGCTCCGGACTGGAAGAGGTCCCCGAGCGTGACGACGAGGCTCGGGGAGAACCGGAGCACGGAGGCTCGGAAGGCCCGGCGCAGGTAAAGGTCGTTGCGGAGGCGGGCGGTGATGAACTGCGCGTGCAGGGCGGTGCTTGGGAGGAGCTGGGGGGTGCGGGGAAGGGGGGGTGGAGGGGTGTGGGGAGGGTAGGAAGGTGGATTCTGAGCCTGGTAGCAAAATGGTAGAGGCCGTTGCAGAGGCGAGCCGTGATGAACTGGGCGTGCAGGGCGGTGCTTGGGAGGAGCTGTTGTGGGGGGGCAAGCAAGGAGATGGGGGGGAGACCAGGAAAGAGGTGGAAAAGGGCAGGCGAGGGTCGTTGCGGAGGCGGGCTGTGATGAACTGGGCGTGCAGGGCGGTGCTTGGGAGGAGCTGTTGTGGGGGAGCAGGGGGGAGGGGATTGGTGAGGGGGAGTGGGAAGGAGTCAGGAAATCTATTGTCAACAGGAGTTGAGAGGAGTTGAAAGGGGTTGTTGATTGGAAGAGGTTTCAGATCGGAGGAAGGTGAAGTGAAAATGGACCAAGCGTTGGGATTGAGAGACACGGTGAGACATCAGTTGTCATGTCAATAACGCGTATGGGTGATGATACTAACGCGTGTAGTGTGTATACCATGCAATTCGGTAGCAAGTGATGTGTTACAGCGTATGGAGTGTACTGATAATGTGTAAGGAGTGTAGAGCCTACCTTTGGACTGTTGATGACTGCAATGGTCTTGTATTCCTTGGGAGGAATGTACTGACCCTGGAATTACAACACGCAAAGAAAATAAATTGCAAAGTTTGCAGAACGTCAGGTTCCAGTTGAATGGATGTCACTTTTGAGTCGACTCAAAAGTAACCTTGTTACAATGGTGGATATGCAACCTGTCACTTTTCTGATTTCCAGTGGATTCACAAGCAAGGGGGTGTGCTTGGATAACAGAAGTAGCCTCTCGAATGAGCACCAGGCGGTTAAGCTTAGAAGCCGCTAAACATGCCGCTTGATCCCCACCACACCACCTGAACATCCACCTGTACGTCCGCCTGAACATTCACCTGAACATCCACCTGACACACGCACTTACCTCAATACCCATCTGGAGCACTCTCTTGGAGCAGCTTGGGCGGCAAAAGCTAGAACTGAATCCACTCGCTGTAGAGCCGGCTGACTGCCCCACACGACGCCGAGCACCGGAACATTCACCGAAACATTCACCTGAATACTCACCTGAACACTCTCGTCCGGCCACGTGGAGCAGCTGGGCGGCCGAAGCCAGAACTGAATCCACTCGCTGTACAGCAAGCTGATCGCCCACACGACGCCCAGCACCGTCGCCAGCACCCATTGCGCCATGGATGCCGACGACGACCTTTCCGCGGTAACGAATCCGCTGTAAGGAGTCCGCTTTTACGACTCCGCTGTAACGAGTCCGCTGTAATGAGCACGTTTTAATGTATCCGCTGTAACGATTCCACTGTAACGGGTCTGCTGTGAACAGCGTTTCCGGAAAGAGTCTACGAATGCAGACGACGGATGAGAGTAACCCTAGAAGGATGGGTTTGGATTCCCGGCTCTCGAGCTTTGCCTTGTTATGGGAACTCCCGGAAACAAACAGACAGGCTTCTAGCTATCTAGCGATCTATTCTAAGAACCGTGTGACAGCCATAACGGGACTGAACCGCAACTTCCTACGAACAATGCGTGCTCGCTTCGCTAAACCCGTTGGAATCGGGAAGTCAGAATTGAACAATTTGAACTTAGGTGCCAAATTTGATGAATTCATGAAGTTGGGGAGGCGAGGCAACACACGCAGGTTTGTCTGACAGCCTTGGGAATATCGAATGTGTCCTATAATAACAAACGCGATATGAAACATATCTGACTGCAAATGTGGAAATGATTGAATTTCATTGTACAAAGGAGTATTGATCGCTTCTAAACCCGAAATGCTCTATAACTTTTGAAAACCACCCCACAACGCTGCTCACTGCTAGCTACCAGGATTCTGTTTTAATTGCTAATGACCTAGAATATTTTGCACAAAATTTCCCTTGTCAGAAAAGATGTATAGAAGAATACAAAGCCCCTCCACCACTAGATTGGGGGGCAAAGCTTCTACCGAGCAATTTGCTCAGCAAGAAGCAAATAGATACAGAGATCAATCAAATAGCTTCACAAATCTACACTGGAGCAAATCAATCGTAAGTTTCTCGTTCCCGATTCTCAGATGCTTCTCCTTGCTTTTTCTCGGAGCTTACAAGCTACCAAGCAATAGCCATTGGCAGCAGGATTGGGCTAGGTTCGGACGATTTCACCGAGGCTGTGGGCGTAAGTACGGACATTGGGCTTTTACCCAAACCAGCCATCTGTACGAGCAGCTTCTCCGAATCTAATCCCATCAGCTCCGCGATCGTTCGCATCCCATGAGGAACCTCCTGCGGCTCGGCAGCGTCTGTGCTTGGCACCCGAGGAGCAGGTGATGTGAGATCATAGCCAGAGCTTTCGGCGGTGGACGACTGCAAGGAAAGGAGCACGGGGTAGACCGCTGGTCCGGGAAGCGCGGCGCTGGTTGCGGCGGAAGGCGCGGGGAGCGCGGGGAGAGAAGGGCGGAAGAGTGAAGAGACGAGGGAGGACCAGAGGAGAGAGGTATCGACGACGCACACGCACCCGTCCCTGTGGCTACGCTGCTTCCGGCCCAAACTGTACACTGCGCCGCGCTCGCTGCTGCCTGCGCTGCTCGCGCTGCTCACGCTGCGCCCACTATCAGAGCTGCTGCTACTAGGGAAGAGGCGCATATCGGAACTTCCCGAAGACGAGAAGGAGGAGGTTGAGAGCGACGCGTCAGATGCGCGAACAATCAGCGACTCCTCGAGTTTTGAGGGATTTGCTTTCGGCTCCTCGCTTACGGGATTGCTCAGCGGAATCTCCGTGAACGCGTCGGACCGGCTCGCCTTCTCACCCGCCGCTACCGGCGCCTTCGGTTCGTACTTCTCGTACACGATCGGCGTGGGGAGGTCGTCCCATACTCTGTGCCGCCTCCGGCGCTGCTGCTTCTTCTGCGGCTGCGCGGGCTGCGGCGCCGCTACGCGCTTCGGCGGCTGGTAGAAGTACGGAAGCGGGGAGGGGGATGGCGGAGGCGGGTTGAAGACCGGGATTTGGAGCATGCTGGGGCGCGGGAGTTTCCCGAGAGGCGGGTGCGGGTTGGGCATGGCTTGCTCCTCCTCCTCGTATGATTCGTCGAGAAGATATGAAAGACGCGACGCCCAGTATTGAGCCATTTAAGATCGCTTTGGATCGGCTCTAAATAAGTTAATCGCGACGCTAGCTTGCTTCGAGAGACTCTGGAGTTTGGAGATTCGGGTTCTAAGAGCCTCAAAAGTCCACGACTGCTCCTGAGATGCCTCACGATGCGACTCAACACACAAGAGTATTGAGGGAAATGTGGGGATCTAGGTCGACTAGGCTCGTCGAGACGGGACAGCAAGATGCAGTACTTGTGTTGCGCAGAGCGGAGTGCCTTTACAACAAGTCTTGGTGCGGAACTTTTTTCTTCTCGCTTGAAGGGCAACAGAGAGATAAGGACGGTGCTAGACAATGCCTTGGTCTCCTGAAATGGAACGATGGCTTTGTTGGAAAAATATTTCGTAAAGAATTTATTTGTAGGGTCCAGCAGCAGAACAGGGTACATGCGCCCCCCATTGGCCAACAACGCTCACGTCCTCCAACCCCACACAACCACTGGCGTTTCCCAGGGGCCAATCTCGCGGCCGACAAATTCGGTTCGGCCTCTGTTGCCACGCCGAGTCGGCCACCAATCAGCGTACCCTCTTGAGCCATCCGATCTGACCAGGAACATTTGCTTCCACGAGCCGCGCATGCGCTTGACCCCGAACCGCGGGGATGCTGTTCACTGATGCTTTCCAGGAGAGCCTTTCTGCGGCGCGGTTGGATCTGCCAGGGGGGCTCAGGTGGGGACCTGCGTTCTTGGGGGAGCTGTAACAGTGGCACTTGAAGCGGACAGCGGGTACTCGCGGCTCGCTTCAGGTGCCTCCAGGGCCCTGCTGTTAGCCAATGAGTGCAGCTGCTTCGCTCCAAACATTGTGGAAGGTGCCACCCATGAGTGAGGAGGAAATGCCAACTTTTCATGCAGCTGGCCTGCTGGTTTGGGTGGTTTTTCATCCACATCCTCACATATTCTTGGTGATGACGAGTCGCAGGTAGGTTGACCTTCTTTCGCAATTTCACACAAAACGAAACCGTGAGCGTGTGATTCGGCCATCTGGTTGTCGCAAGCAGGTCCCTGCTTCAGGCAAGAAGCTCGCGAATTAGATTCCCGCATAACCCTGTATTGACGGATTCAGGGAATTGCGAGGCACCAGGTAACAGCAGACTGGGAATGTAAGTGAAAATACACTTTGGTAGTAAATTAAATCTCTGATTGGAGCTGTGTGAAATGTACACAAACCAGCTTTGGTTAAGGATGAATACAAGGTTACAACCAACTGTCCCAACCAGCAGTGTCCCACATCTGATGAGATTGCATAGCACCTGCGTTTCTGCTAAACAAGGTGCTAAGCTAACCCTAATCTCCAACTGTTTGAAATCTATCATTCCTGACGACCAATATAGGAATGAAACATCAGTATAAATCAATTTGATTGAGATGCTGCATGTCTGATGCGGCATGCAGGGGAAAATGGTAGCAGTGCAACAGCTGCTGCTGCCACTGTTCCAGTGACCATTTCTGCAGCTGTAACTGCTGCTCTAAGCCCCACCACCTATTGCTGCCTCCTCCCAAGGTTTAGGTCTTCTGTAAACATCCAGGCCTTCTGCTGCTGCCTACCTCCAGCTTACAACCTTCCTTCATCTTGATTTCCTCACTTTCTCTCGCTCTCCTCAGCAGCTTTACCCACTTCTCCGGCTTACCTTCTCCAATGTCACTTCCCTCCTAACTACTACCCTGCAGTTGCATCCACATAGAAACACAACACCTTCCTCCTCTCACACTCAGAGAAAACATGGGATCATTTTCACCCACCTCTGCAGTGCACTAATTGGGAATGAAACCGTTCGTCACCTCAAACATTCCTGTTCCCCTTTCTCTCCTCCATCCTCCCCTCTGTTTTCCCCCTCGTTTCCTTTCTCTCCCTTCCTCTCCTCCTCTGCCTTCCTATCCTGCTCCTCGCGCTGCTCCAGCATCAGCTTCCGCCGCTCCACCTGCTGCAGCAGCCCGTCCAGCTCGCTCGACCGCACAGGCTTGGTCAGAAAGTGGTCCATGCCCACCTGTGGTTGGGGTGGAGGTAGGGTGTGGATAGGTAGGAGATGGTAGAAAGGGTTTCAGGCTTCCGCCACTCCACCTGCTGCAGCAGCCCGTCCAGCTCACTCGACCGCTCTCCCGCTTGGTCAGAAAGTGGTCCATGCCCACCTGTGGTTGAGGGTTGGGGTTAGGGTGGAGATAGGAGAAAAGGTGTTGGGTTGGGGCTGGGGTGGGGGTAGATAAGAGGTGGGGTTGGAAGGGGGAAGGGGAAAGGGGGAAGGGGAAAGGGGGAAGGGGGGCTTTCATCGCTCCACCTGCTGCAGCAGCCCATCCAGCTCGCTCGACCGCACCGGCTTGGTCAGAAAGTGATCCATTCCCACCTGTGGTTGAGGGTTGAATGTGCAGGGGAAGAGATGATGAGAAGGATGGGGAATGGGGAGGGGGAGAAAGGAGGACGGGGGGAAAGGCGATGCTGCATGTGCCAACCACCGAACCACTCACCTCGGTGCATCTCAGCCGTTCGTGCATGAGTGCACTCGCAGTGAGAGCCACGATATACGGCCGCTTCCGCTTCGACCCGCTTCCCTTCCTCCGTGTATGAAGTAGTGTTTTGAGAAGTCTCAAAACCGATCCACTCACCTCGGTGCATCTCAGCCGTTCGTGCATGAGTGCACTTGCTGTCAGAGCCACGATATACGGCCGCTTCCGTTTCGGCCCACTCCCCTTCCTCCGCCGCCCCTCCTCCCCATCCCCCTCCCTCTCCTGACCCCCCTTCCCAACCCCCTCTCTCACTTCATCTGCTGCTTTACTCCCCCTACCACCAACCCCATTCGACTTGTCCTCATCCATGCCTTGACTACTGGGCTTGTCTTTGCCACTGGGCTTGGCACCAGTATCAGTATCTGCTCCCCCATCTACCGATTTAGCCCCGCTGCTCCCCTTCCGAACCGACTTGTCTTCATCCATGCATGTGGCACCATGTGTAGCGTCAGCTGCCGCCAAATCTGTAGCGGCAGCTGTAGCAGCAGCTGTAGCTCCAGCTGTAGTGGCAGCTGTAGCAGCAGCTGTAGCGGCAGCTGTAGCTCCATCTGTAGCGACGGCTGTAGCGGCGTCGCCAGCAGTTTCCCAGACGGTGGGAAGCTCCCGGATCTTCTGAGTGGCGATGAATCCGTCCATTACTGGCATGTGGCAGTCCTGCGAGGGGCGGGAAGAAGATGGTGGGGGGGGGGGGAAGAAGGAATGAGGGGAAGGGGAGGCGGGATTTGAGCCACCATACATGTCTTATTTTGGATTTTCCGATTGATTGAGTGTGAGTGAGTTAGCACACACCAACTACCTATGACAACCAGGCCTTGTTATCAGACGCCCTGATTGAAAGAGTGTCTGAGGGAGTGAGGGAGTGAGCGAGCGAGTAACCCTACCTACCATGAATACCACGTCGTAGTTCTTTTTGCTACCCCTGAGAGTGAGTGAGTGAGGGACTGAGTGAGGGAGTGACTGTGGGAGTGAATGAGAACCACCACTCACCATGAACACCACATCGTAGTCCTTCTTTTCGCGCGCCCGCAGCGCCTCCTCCCCATTGGAAGCCACATCCGACACCTCGCCCAGCCCCCTCAGCATGCGCACCACCACCATCTGGTTCACCTTGTTGTCCTCCGCCATCAAGCACACAACTTGCTCTAGCTGGCCCTTGAGGGCTCTCAAGAACCCGTGGGCGAGTACTTGGGTGAGTGAGTGAGTGAGTGAGTGAGTGAGGGAGCGAGTAAGGGAGTGAGCAAGCAAGTACCCACCATGAACACCACATCGTAGTCCTTCTTTTCGCACGCCCGCAGCGCCTCCTCCCCATTGGAAGCCACATCCGACACCACGCCCAGCCCCCTCAGCATGCGCACCACCACCATCTGGTTCACCTTGTTGTCCTCCGCCATCAAGCACACAACTTGCTCTAGCTGGCCCTTGAGGGCTCTCAAGAACCCGTGGGCGAGTACTTGGGTGAGTGAGTGAGTGAGTGAGTAAGGGAGCGAGTAAGGGAGTGAGCAAGCAAGTACCCACCATGAACACCACATCGTAGTCCTTCTTTTCGCACGCCCGCAGCGCCTCCTCCCCATTGGAAGCCACATCCGACACCACGCCCAGCCCCCTCAGCATGCGCACCACCACCATCTGGTTCACCTTGTTGTCCTCCGCCATCAAGCACACAACTTGCTCTAGCTGGCCCTTGAGGGCTCTCAAGAACCCGTGGGCGAGTACTTGGGTGAGTGAGTGAGTGAGTGAGTGAGGGAGCGAGTAAGGGAGTGAGCAAGCAAGTACCCACCATGAACACCACATCGTAGTCCTTCTTTTCGCACGCCCGCAGCGCCTCCTCCCCATTGGAAGCCACATCCGACACCACGCCTAGCCCCCTCAGCATGCGCACCACCACCATCTGGTTCACCTTATTATCCTCCGCTATCAAACACGCCAGCCCCTTCCTCCTCCTCTTCCTCTCCTCCTCGCACCCCAACCCTAACCCTTCTCCACCCCCCGTGGAAAACCCCGGAGCAGCAGTGGGAGCGGCCGTGGCTGTGGCTGTAGCGGTCGCGGCAGCAGCAGTGCCAGACTTCACGCTTCGTGATCTGCCTCCGTATGTCCCTGCTCCTGAGGCATCGGCTGACGAACCTGCACACACAGCAGAGGTCAGGAGCAAAATCAGAAGCAGGGGGGATAGATAGAAAAAAACGGGAGATAGAGAGATTAGGGAGCAGTGGATGTGCGGCAGTTTTTGAGGCGCCTCAAAGATAGAGAGATTAGGGAGCAGTGGATGTGCGGCAGTTTTCGAGGCGCCTCAAAGATAGAGAGATTAGGGAGCAGTGGATGTGCGGCAGTTTTTGAGGCGCCTCAAAGATAGAGAGATTAGGGAGCAGT